CCAAAAATACAAAATATATATATATATATATATATATATATATATATATATATATCCATATATCATATATATATCAATATATACATCATATATATATCAATAATAGCAGTATGTTATACATCAATAGCAGCAACAGCTTTTCCAGGTTCTGCAGTCATTTGAACAAAATTGTAGAGACATCCAGCACACTCCATTTAAAAAAAAAACAAACAAAAAAAGTGAAAAACAAAATCCCAGAAAATAGCACAGTTCTGTTACTCTTATGGTACCTGGCACCATTTTTGTTTTTTTTAATTAGCTTCTCAATCATCATCTGGAAGAAAACCATTCTGAGCAATATCATTAAAAACAGCTCTGATAAAAAAGCATGGTCACTACTATGTATCATAAAGCAGGTCCACATTTGAGTGAGTACATATCATGTTTGTCTTTTTGTGATTGGTTTACCTCACTCAGAATGGTTTCTTCGAGTTCCATCCATTTTCCTGCAAATTTCAAGATTCCATTGTTGTTTTCTTCTGAGTAGTACTCCATTGTGTAAATGTACCACATTTTCTCTATCCATTCTTCGGTTGAGGGGCATCTAGGTTGCTTTCAGTTTCTGGCTATTACAAACAATGCTGCTATGAACATGGTTGAACAGATGTCCTTGTTTTATGAATCTGCTTCTCTTGGGTATATGCCTAGGAGTGGAATTGTTGCATCTTGTGGTATGATCGTACAGTGGTACTGTAGAACTGATTGTGAACAGTAGCATGAGAAATAGAGAAATCAGGAACATATTTCATTCTTTTTAATGTCTCAAGTCACTTTATCATCACTTAGACCTTCCATCCTCAGACCTTTATACTTTATATTCTCAGACCTTCATAACCTGCATTTATCCACCGTGTTAGACCTTTTCATCCTCAGACCTGCATAACTACATTCCCACACCTTCATATACCTTACACTTTCCTATCTTCACATAGATAGACCCTAAAATACTTGTTCCTGAAATCTGTTTTGCTTTAAGCTGGCAAGACTACCAGTCGTCAAAAGCACCAGCGTTCTTGAGAAGGATGAGATTTTACCTGAATTAATGATTAAAGAAAAACAGTGCTTGTGTCTGTGACAGCTTAGAGTTGATGAATTGATTTTTCTTTCGATTGTTCAGTATTTGTTAACAGGCTGAGGTGGAATATTGTTGTTGAGTGCGTGTGCGCGTGCGTGTGTGCGTGCGTGCGTGCGTGCGTGCGTGCGTGTGTGTGTGTGTGTGTGCGTGTGTTTGGACCCGTCAGTTTAACTCCAGTCTATTTTGCTTAAATGCAAAATCTTACTCTTGAATATAACATGAGTCAGCATCAGTGATCCTGGAGACTCACAGATCACGTCGGCCTGGATTTGGGGGGAAGAGGAAACAGTTCCCCAATAGCTTGGTCCTTCTCTTGTACTTCAAGAATATGATTAGGTAAAGATGGCGGCTACAAATGGCGTTTCAGTCCCAGCTGCCCCTCCGTGGTGCGCCCGGGCACACAAGCGGGAAGGGTGGGTGGCTGCCCTCTGCGTGCCTTGGCAGAGCTACAGTTATGGTTCATGTAGCTGCTTCTTCCTCTGTTTCAGGGCCAGCTTTCAATACTGCAAGAGAAGATAGACCATTTGGAGCGCTTGCTAGCTGAAAACAACGAGATCATCTCCAACATCAGAGACTCAGTCATCAACCTGAGCGAGTCTGTGGAGGATGGCCCCAAGGGCTCCCCAGGCAATGGCAGCCAGGGCTCGGCACACCTCCTCTCTCCACAGTCAGCCCTCCAGGCTGACCCCAAAGACTGTTTGTTTGCCCCACTGAGTGGAAGTCAGCACCCGGATGTGCAGGTACTGGAGAGTCGATGGTGACCACGCCCCCTTCTGCTTGTTTTCAGATTTGCTTTTTGTCCATTGTTATTCTGTAAGTTTTTAAGCACTGGGCTCCAGTTCCTCCTTTTGCCGTGGTTTGTTCTTACCACCGTTTTTCTTTATTAGTGATATCATTCACGACTCCTGTGCTTCTGCCTGGTTTCTTCTGAGCACCGCCATTTTGCTTGCTTTATCTTCTGTAGGGGTGGAAAAATCTTTAGAGCTTTAATGTTGCCTAGGTGATATTTTTATTTTCTTTGGAGAAAACAAGAACATACCAATGTCACTGTGCACTTTCTCTGTACAGCACGAGGATAGAACTTTGGAGGTAAGATCCTTTGGTAGGGCAGGGAATAGTCTAGAGCTGTGCTGTCCACAGTGGAGGAGCACACCCAGCTGCAAGCACTCACAGTGTTGTCTTTTGACTTGAGATGTACTCTGAAAGTTTGTAATGGAAGCACAGAACATTTTGGCCTTAGTGTATAAAGTAACTTTATTGTGTATTAATTATATGTTGGTTTGATAATAATATTGGATAACTTAGATCAAATCTATAATTAACTTTTTCTTGGTTTCATTTTACTAGACTATTTAAGATTACATGTTGGACTTGTACCTTTTCACTTGGACAACTATGTTCTATGGGGTAATGGGACTGAAAACCGGGATCAGAGGGACTCTTAAACTTGGAATGTGTTACTCCTGTTGGTCTTCGCTTTGCAAGTTAGCAGAGACCATGTTAAACCTTGGCTTTGGACCAGGAGTGTGAACTCCATGGAGGACCCCAAAGGGTGAATGTTTTAAAAGTTGTGTGAAATTAGATGGCTTTTAGCTTGGCTTTAGAGGAGGCATCCCTTTTTCACCATTTTTTATTGGACGGGGTGCATAGAACATGGTATGGCTTTGAGGCCATGGCTCATAGGCCAAGCTGCAAGCTGGAGGCAGTGTGGCTGGACAGACCCTGTCCCTGTGGTTTTATTAGCTAGGGCATGGGCAGATCCAGATGGGATCAGAGTCCCGGGATTTCCAGGGTCTGCTTCCTCAGGGCTTGGCTTCATTTTCTTGTTACCGAGTACTTCTTAGTACCACCTTGGTCCATTGTGGTCAGGGGACGGCAAGGTGGCAAGATCCCTTTTTGTTATTGTCATTGTCGTTTGTTTTATCCAAATGTGGGCTGCTTATACTGTAACTGAGGAGTATGTGCACTGTAGGGCTGGAGGAAGGGTTAGCAGTTCCTGCCATGTTTCCCTCTGCCCAGCTGTGCTCCCCAGGGTTTCTAGCTTAGTCTTGGAGTCTTAGTTTTTATTCATTCAAGCCATGAGTCCTGTAGGAAGAGATAGCCATTGTCTTAAAATAATCCATCATCACTGTTACTTAATTTTCTGATATTTTTATTGTTTTGTAATATTTTATATTAATTAAGGTAATTTTTATAACCTGTTCAATTTTAGCAATTTAAATTTTCTTGGTTGTGTGGTCACATTCAGTATTACAGAGAATATGGGGTATAAAAATAAAAAAAAGTATTATGTTTTGGGTGGGACACTTTTTTCCTTTATGTCCAAAATGGATTGTTATCTACACAGTATTGTGCATTGAGAAGCTACAAGACATTTACTTGGTTTTTGAAATGAGGTCCCACCATACAGTGACCTTCCTGCCTCAGCTTTATGCTGGGACTATAGGTGTATACTGGTATACCTGGATGTAGGAACGCATTTGGCTACTTAAAAGTTAAATCTCAGTTGAAAAAAACTCATTCCATGTCTATTTCAGAATAAAAAGCTAAGTACAGCATTTGACAGACAGAAAAATAGACATGAGTTTTCAGCCAGATACAGATTTAGAAGGCCGCTGAGACTAATTAGGAATCCGACAGCCCAAATGAAGTAAGAAGTGTGTAGAGTATGTGTGCTTGCGAATTTGAAGTATTTGGTCATAACCAAATTCCACGGGAAATCTTCTGTTGTGTTTCTGTTTTCCGAGGAAATCACACTGGCTGTGAAAGCAAGAGGAGGAGGAATTGTAATAAACGAATGAAATCATACTTATCCAGAACAGACAGGGAGGGCCTGTTTATCAGGGTAGTTCTGTAGCACAGTTAGCCTTTCAAGCCTGTGAATGATGAGCAGATGTTTTTGGCCTTGACAGTTTCAACTGATTTTTTACATAAATAGTTTCCTTTGATTATATTATTGAAAAGAAAAGAAAAGAAAAAACCCAGCAAAAATCTTTGAGTAACTATTGACCAGCCATAAGTATAGATTAACAATGGTTAAAGTTTAACCTTTTTTCTTTCATATTTTTAGATGTTGGATGTTTATGATCTGATTCCTTTTGATAACCCAGATGGCGGAGTTTGGAAGCAAGGATTTGACATTAAGTATGAAGCTGATGAGTGGGACAGTGAGCCCCTTCAAGTTTTTGTGGTGCCCCATTCCCACAATGACCCAGGTAAACCTGCACTACCTAAGAGCTGCGACAAGCTGATCCAGTACCCATGTCCTGTAATGAGGGTCCTAGAGAGCGCACGCTGTCTGATTTCACAGATGGATTCTCATTGTGCCATTACTGGGTAGTACTTGTAGAGCAGGAAACAGTGGTGAACACAAGAAGAATTTTGGGGACATCCATTTCAGGGTACTGAAGTTTATTTTATTTGCTTCTGGTGAGATATTGCATGGGAGGGCTGGAGTGGCTCTTATCATTCTTGTACAGGACCCGCATTCAATTCCAGAACCCACAGGGCAGGTTCACTACCGTAATACCTCCTCTTCTGACTTCAGCCAGTATGAGGCATACACGTGGATGCTCGGGCAAAGCATTCATACATATAAAGTAAAATAAATCTAAAAAACACTAAAAAAATACTAATCACTTGATACTCCGCCTCAGAAAGGCAGAGTGTTCGCTGCAAGATTTTGAGCCTTTACCACAGAGAAGTGTAAGCAGAGGTTTGGGAGCTTTGGTGAATGGGTCTAAGTCCGAGGCCTGGACCAGCAGAGTGAGATGACTTAGGCCAGTCACTTAGTCCCTCAGTAGATGAGGTTTTTATCTGGTAGAATTAGGATGAGAGTATCTTCCCAGGACGAAATGTAAAGGAACCCCGCACGACACAAAAATAGCTGCTATTATTGTAATTACTGTTATTTCACATGAAGGCTTTTACTTGTTGAGGCCAGTGATCCCCCACCCCCAAGGTAAGGGGAAATTGCTATAATTTCAGTGGAGCACATGATTTGATGTGCGAGCTTAGGGGTGTGAACACATAACACAGAGTGAACGCCCCGTGAATTTAGTGCGGTCTTTCTTGAGGCTGTATTTCTAAACACTTCTTTTAGAAGGCCTTCACTAATTTGTGTTCCTTACCTTTCTCAAGAACCGAGTTCTTTCTAGTTCACCTTTTCCTTTTAAGGATTTTTTCTTCCTTTCTTCCTTCCTTCCTTCCTTCCTTCCTTCCTTCCTTCCTCCCTCCCTCCCTCCCTCCCTCCCTTCCTTCCTTCCTTTTATCTTTCTCTCTCCCGCCCCCCACACCTGCATGTATGGCTGCCTACTTCCATTCTTCGCTAGTTTACTGGATGTCCTCTTTCCTATGACAACTTTCTATCATGTAAGTGCAACTGACAACTTTGGATGTGAACACGATTCCTACCTTTCTCTCTTTCGGTTTCTCCAAAGTCGTTTTCATCCCTCTCCCTTTCCCTCTGTGCTCTGTCCCCCCAGCTGTTTATTCGTCGCTCTGTGACCTGAGCACTCAACTGTAATATTAAAAGATGTGGGTTACTAGGCAGGGTGCTGAATTGTTTTGCAAATAGCTAATGCTTAGAGGAGGTTGGTGGTACATTCACTGCAAAGGTGTTATCATCTTGTCAAGGTGACACAAGCAGTGAGCCAATGTATTGGGATCCCTCATGTCACGTTCACCCGGATTTCTCTCTTGAGTAACCCTGAGTACAAAGAGCACGCATCTCCTCTTGAATGTGGCTTATTCTTCGCCTAATACTTGGTCTGCAATAACTTTGTAAATCCGTAAGCTCTCCTCTGAACTGTCTACATATTCCTTTACCGCAGACACAGACCACAGTCACCCCACACTTGCACATACGCACAGGTATAGAAATATACAGTGTTTGTGCTGAGCCTACTATACAGTGTTTGTGTTGAGCCCACTCACTGAGTTTTAAGCTCACCAAGGAAGGGCCAGGGCTTTGTTTTACAAACTGCCCTTTGTGGAAGCTCACAAGTCATTGCAATAATTGACCCTCTAGATTAGGGTCAAACGCTTGGCTTGTTGGTTGTCTCATGGTTGGCATTAACTCCTATCTTCTCTGGTGTCTCTCTATTTCTAGTCTTTTAAGAAACATTTATTTGAAAGGGTCCTTTGCACTTTTTAGAGTAGCAGCAGTATTAAGCTCTTTGAGGGCAGGGATTTCTTAGGTCCCTGTTTGTTTGCATTATGGTTCTTGCTGTAGTATTCTGTTTTGTGTGAGGACATCCATAATAACTGTTTCTGACTGCAATGAATGAATCTGTCTGTTGGTATCCTAGCAACCACAGTGAAATCTTTTGTCTTAGTAGAAGATGGTAATGACCCTTACCCTCAGGCTCTTCTCCACTTGAGTTAAAAATAGTGGTCAGAAACAGACCCATTACACCTAAATCAAGTTTTTGCCACAAAGCAAAATAGTATAGAAAAGAACCCACAGGCTTTTTGGATTATTTTCATTATTCCCTAACAAAAAATAGAATTATTGATAACCTAAATTATCCGGTGAAAACAGCAAACATTCAGATCATGAAAAATCACTGTCTTAATAGAGAGAAAACAGAAAAATATGTGCATGTGTATTCTAAGTCAAAATATGACTGTAATGGGAAATCTCTGTAGAATACTCCCAAATGAATGTGCAATTAGGCAATTTACTTTCTAAATGAGATTTATAGAAAGTTGTTTGCATTTTCTGCAGCAACAAGTTAAAACAAGTTTTGACTCAGTAGTTTGTCTCACCAGTGGATTTACATCTTCTGGGAATAGAGCTATTTGAAATAGAGTTTTAAACAAATCCTGTATTTGTCCCTTAACAAAGAATTCATATATATACACATGCATACATAGGCACACACACGTGTGTGCAGATCGCTTCCTTTTGGGGGTGAGTCAGTATCAGTAAGACAACATAAATTCTAAAAAACAGCATCTTAATAAATTTCCTAATTAAGTCTTCTTCCAGCACCCAAGGGTACACCATACAGCATTCAAATGCCTTACATGAATTAAAACAAAATAGGAAAGGAGTTGTTAGGTAAATGCTGATAGCTCTGTCCTGCTATGGATTTGAAAAGTTTTGAATCATAGACCATGAAATTAAATATATGAGTTGATGGATACATGTTCATGTTATATTTAATAAGCTGATTAGAACACAATTACAGCACCTTTGTATCTACAATCTTAATTCTTCACTTCCCACTAGTTAAACTGCCAAAACATTTAGTTAATTTTCCTTCAGAGAAATCACAGTGTGTAGAGAAAAGATAAGGTGTACTGGATGGAAGCTTGAACAGCATATTGTCAGTGAGGCAGTTTGTCAAATGAACATTGGGCAGTGACCCCCTTGTGGGGTGACTCCATAGCAGTAGAGAGAGCCAACCCCTCAAGTTATACTGGGAAACAAATCTTTAGAAAAGAATATTGATTTAATGAACGATGGCATTTTGCCCATTTTTAAAGCTAAGAGAATACATTTTTTTGTGTTTAGTATTACATAATAATTAGAAATAGATTTGTTAAAAAAAAAGAAATAGATTTGTTTATGCATCTGTGGTTAAGTTCAAAGAGAATAAAAACGTGAAATCACAGTCTGAATTTCAAAGACTTTTGATTAACTATTACACCGTTGGAATTGAAAAATGTTTGGCCAGCTGTTGTTGGTGAATGTCTATGAATATCAAGGTGGAGAAGAGAGCCAGGGAGGTGGACAGCAGTGGGCATTGGGTGTCAGTGTGGGGAGAAAGTCCACCTCTGTTTAGCTAGTGCAGGGTAAACTGTGCTCTTTGATTTTGTTCCCGCAGCCTGCAAAGCATGAAGGCAAACTGAGAGAGGACTCTGTGTCCAAACTTGCCAAGGAAGGGATGTAGGAAGCTAAGTCACATTTAACGGTGTAGTAATTTATTGGAAGCCAGTCAGTGATAACTCTCCGGAGCTGGTGAATCGGGGCTCAGGGAGGTCTCATTGTGAGATCCATGCTGCTCCCATTGGCCATTCTGTTTCTTAACACATTTATTTCATTCAAACAGATTCTGCATCTTCTTCTTTTTTAAAAGTGGGGAGTAGCCAATTTAGCACATTTGTCTGGATTTCTGGGTTATTAATAAAGTTAGCTAGAAATTCAGGACACTTGGTCAAACTTGAATTTCTAGTGAACAATGGATAGTTTTTTTTTTTTTTTAAGTGTGTATTCCAAGTTTTAAATCAGTCATTTATATTAAATGTTTACTTGCAGTTTATTTGAAATTCAGATTTAACTTGGCATCTTGTATTTTATCTGAATGATAGCATCTGAGAATTAAATACCACACAGCTTTGTGGAATTGTGTGCTTAAGAGCCATCTAGAGAGGGAATATTGAGATCTGCTTTTCCAGGAAGGAAGCTCTGGTGACTTGGGCTATCTGTGGACTTCATTCTTAGGGAAGACGTCAGTTGCTCTTGAGAGATGTGGGTATCGTCGTGAATCTCGTGAGTCCTCTCATTTTCAGCCTCCATCTGTTTTCCTAGCCCGAATGCCTGACAACTCACAATAGTAATAAAAGTTGGCATTGCCGCTTAGGTCCATGCTATCCCCACCCTTTACGTATATTAAAACCATTGCTCCACTGAGCAGCGCTATGATAATTCTATAGCATTGCCCTCATTTCATAGAAAAAAAAGTCAGGAGAAAGGATTAGAGATCTGCCCATGGTAGAGAGGACTGGCGCTGTGACACTGGCTTCGGAACCAGGACCTGAGATTTGTTCATTAATATAAAACTACCATTCATGGCTAACATTACTGAAGCCACAGGCAGAGCATCTGTGAGGAAACTGAGTACTGTCACGGCTAACATCATCTATGCAGGTAATACTAAACACAAAAATGGTTCTTATTAACTATCTTGCAAAAGTGGGCACCTCCCTGTGCTATTTCCTATTCTTTTTCCTTTTGACTTATTCCTATTAATATGGAGGTCTCTGTCTTGAATACACGCCCTCCCTTATTGCTACGTTTTTCTTTATGATTAGAGTGATTCAGAAGCAGGATTTTCCAGCTTCAAAAGTGACCTCTGGAAACTGGGATGCTTTGCACAGCTTGTGTAACCCTATCTGGGTAACCTGCTTGTGTGGGGAGGCGCTGGCAGATATTCACAGAGTCCCCTTAGCACAGAAGAGGGATAAGCTCTACACAGATGGGTAACCT